GGCGGGGTGGAGGGGAGGGGAGGGGGGGGGGGATTTTAAGGTGGTTGGTTGAGGGGAAAGTGGGGGGGGAGAAAGGGAAGGGAAGGGGAGGGGAGGGGAGGGAAGGAGGGAGGGTGGGAGGGGAAGGAGGGGAGGTGGGAGGGAGGGGAGGGTAGAGGGAGGGAGGGAGGGGGAGGAGGGGGGAGGGAAAGGGAGATTATTAATAATAATAATAAAAACAACAACAATAATACTGATAATAAAAGTGAAAACAAAATAATAATAACAATATCCATAATCATAATCATAACCATAACAACAACAAAACGACCAATAATAACAACAAAAACAGCCTCACCGCCCACAGCCACTTACCGGCATACCATTCTCTCGCTTCGTCGTTGACCAAGTCGACGGTTCCTGCCATAAATCCCCCGAAATCCTGCGTGTAGGATTGGCCTTCGCTGTCCACCATCAGGAATCCTTGGCTGTCGGCTTCCTCGTACAGTGTGCCGCCCGCGATCAGGTGTGGGTTGATGTAGGCCATCACGCCCACGCCTTCTTGGCCGAGGGTGGTGATCATTTCGTCCAGGCCTGTGTCGTGGGCGTGGGTGTGGGAGAGAGAGAGGGGTTGGATGTGAATCTTGTTCGGGAAGTTTTGGTTTTGATAATGTTGATGTTGGGATAATTTTTTTATCATGATTATAATTACTATTATTGTTATTGTTAAATTGTGTGTGTTGTGTGGTGTGTGTGTGTGTGTGTGTGTGTGTGTGTTTGTGTGTTGTGTGTGTGTGTGTGTGTGTGTGTGTGTGTGTGTGTGTGTGTGTGTGTGTGTGTGTGTGTGTGTGTGTGTGTGTGTGTGTGTGTGTGTGTGTGTGTGTGTGTGTGTGTGTGTGTGTGTGTGTGTGTGTGTGTGTGTGTGTGTGTGTGTGTGTGTGTGTGTGTGTGTGTGTGTGTGTGTGTGTGTGTGTGTGTGTGTGTGTGTGTGTGTGTGGTGTTTGTGTGTCAGTGCGTGCGTGTGCGTTTTTCTTTTATCATTTTATTTTCCTGTGCGTGCGTGTATATGTACAGTAGCCAAATACACACGAAAGTGCACAAACATACATAACAATGACACTGCCGACGACTGCAGCAACAATGACTAATAACAGGCAGTAACAATAGCCATACCCGGGTAGTAGGTCTGGTTCCACTGCCAGTTCCAGTAGACGCGGTGGCCGAACAGGGTCTCCGTCGTGCCCGACCAGTCCTGGATCCAGAGGGCGCTCACGTTCACGCCCGCGCCCTTGGCCATCTCGTAGTAGTCGAGGACCCTGTGGGTGGGCGGGTGCATTTTTTTTAAGGGACTTGTTTTAAGTGCGAATCGTTTGGAGATAAATAAATACAAGCACACACACGTATGTATATACCTATGTATGCACACACACACACACACACACACACACACACACACACACACACACACACACATACATATATATATATATATATATATATATATATATATATATATATATATATACATGTGTATGTATATAAATGTATATATACATACATATATATATAGACAGACAGAGAGATAGACAGAAAGATGTATATACATATATATACATATATGCATATATACATGCGTATATATAAGTATGTACATATGCATATTTACACATGTATATATGTAATATATATAATTTATATATATGTATGTATATACATACACACACACATACACACATACACATATGTGTGTGTGTATGTATATGTATATATACATAGCTTACCTCCTGCGTTCCCCTCTGCAGACTCAAGATGGTCCCCGTGATGATCCAGTCAGGGAGAGTGGGAGCATAATGAACCTTGCTCGGTATAAGGTTCATCATCGTATCATTGAAGTACATTTCGAGCAAGAACGACTCGCTATGAATGTAGAACTCGTGGTAATTTGGCTGACTGAAGTTCATGACCATGTAACTGAGATGGGAAAGCGGGGAGAGAGATATGGTCTGCTGCTTGTAAAATGAGCTGTACTACTTTAACACATATACATGTATATATAAAGATAATGATAATAACAACAATAACAACAGCTATAATAATAATAATAATAGTAATAACAATAACAACAGCCATGTTCGTTGAAGTATGAAGAAAGATCCGTTGCTTTATTTAACATGTAAATAAAGCAAGTTCCTGCTCAAAATATTCCCGTTTTCTTTAATACCTATTAAGGGGTAACGGCACTAGACCTTATACCTTTTTGTGCACCTTTTACTCAATCCTTTATATCCTCTCTTACGAAAAATAACTCGAAGACCGATCAACCTACTTCAACAATCACACACACAGCTCTAGAAATCAACTTGGAAAAACGAAAACAACACAAAAACAACGATAAAATCACCCAAAACAGCTTCAAATACTGACGTACTCGTAGCGATCGAAAATAACAGAATAGCGCTTCGAGGAGACAAAAGAGGGTTCGGGCCAGTAAGTGGTGTAGTACTCTCCTCCAGCATCACCCTCGATGTCGGTGATGTTGGCGATGATTCCTCCATCGCGACCGATACCTGGGAGAGAAGGCGAGAAAAGGGAGAGGGGAGTGAGGGAGGAAGGGTGAGGAGCAGCAGTCAGTGCGGGCGGTGCTATGACTATTTCTCGACTTGTTGCTGTATCTCTGTATCAGAATGTCTGTATCCTCATAGCTGTCGATTAATTTATGTATCTAGATATCTGGGTATCAGTCTGTATACATTTATGATAGAGAGAGATAGATCAATGGATAAACACATACATACACATGCACACACACACAGAGCGGGCGAGAGAGAGAGAGAGAGAGAGAGAGAGAGAGAGAGAGAGAGAGAGAGAGAGAGAGAGAAGAGAGAGAGAGAGAGAGAGAGAGAGAGAGAGAGAGAGAGAGAGAGAAGGAGAGAAAGAGAGAGAGAGAGAGAGAGAGAGAGAGAGAGAGAGAGAGAAGAGAGAGAGAGAGAGAGAGAGAGAGATTGGCACACAAAATATGAAGAGGGAGCAAACAAGAAGATAAATCCAAGATAAAATGTGAAAAAGAGCAAGAACAGAACATTAGATACAAGAGAAAGAATGAATATGAGAGCCTAAAGCGATAATAAACGAAAATAAATACAAAGAAAACGGGAAATGAGTAAAAAGTAAAACAGGAACAAGAAAGAGAACGAAAAGCAAGAAAAAAAAACGAAAAGTAAGAAATAGACCAAAAAAAAAAGAACGAAAGGCAACAGAGACAAAATCATAAAGAAACAGAAAGACAGAAAAAAAGCTAAAAAGAAAAAAAAGAAAACGAGATTCTAAAAAAACAAAAACAAAATAAAATAAAAAGACAAAAAAAAACACTAATAAAAGGAAGAAAAAGAAAACGAGATTCTGAGAGACAAAACATCAAGAAATAGAAAGACAGAGAAAAAAGAAAAGAAAAAACAAAAGCCGAAATAATGAAAAAAAGAAAACGCAACCGACTCGACCGACCTTGCTCACTCGTCCAGATGGGATAGTGGCGACCGCGGAGGTTAAGATACGTGTACTGCTCGCCTCCTCCATAGACCTTCTCGTCCTCGTCAGCAGAGAGCCTGAGCCACATACGGTTGTAAGGACTGTCTGTCATGAGATTGTTAAATATCCCGACGTAGCCGAAGACATACGTGTCGGCGGTCAAACGTATCTGTTGAAGATGAGAATTGCCATGTAAAACACAGTAAATTCATGGTCTGTGTATGAACTGTATAGATATACAATACATATACGCTCATGTGTAGGCCTAGACGCACATCCACAGAAGTGCAGACATATACAAGGTCTATATAAGTACTTGTATAGACCTTGTACATATACGCTCATATGTAGGCCTACACGCACATTCACAGAAGTGCATACTTATACACATGTAAACTAAATAGAACTGCAAATGCATTTATATACGTAAATACATGAAGGTGTTTGTGAGTGTGATTACGTACATACAGCCACAAGCATATATACGGATTTTTATGTACAAGCATGCCCAGTCATGTAAGCATATATACACTTATACCTTCCACACACGTGCATACGCTTCTGAACATAGAGAAGAGAAGCTCACGTTCGCATCATTCGAGCAAAAGACAACGCGACCATAGAGACCCAACACGAACAAATGTACACACACACACACACACACACACACACACACACACACACACACACACACACACACACACACACACACACACACACACACACACACACACACACACACACACACACCACACACCAAAACACCCAACCAACCCGGCCCACCCACCTCGACCTCGGGATCAGCATAGGAACCCAGCGTGATTCGAACACTTCCCGTCCTGTTCGAAGCCATGACGATTCGATCCATGGGGACGACCTCGAGAATTTCCTCCTGGATGTCGAACATACCGTGGTCCTCTTGTAGTTGGCTGTACCCCACGCCAAAGGTTTGATGACTGGGGCTCTCCCGCGTGTGGGGAAGATCGTGTGGTAGGGACCAACTACCACCGTCAGCCCACCTCCCTACAGACCAGAGTTCAGTCGAGACGTTCACCGAACGCAACTATCTACCACAACGCAGCACCGAGCACTAGATCCTCACCCAAAGTGCACCCACAGAATAACCAATGCCCTTGCTGCGCATCCGCAATCGAAAGCCAGCGCTTCAGCCCACTGACCATCCTTGTGAACACTGTGTACAACTATCCACCGCTTATATCTTCACAGAACCACGATCCACCATGACACCCCTCAGGGCCCGGGAAGAAGGGGAGGTAGGAGAGATGGGGGCAAAGGGAATGCGAGCGTTAGGAGCGGTAAAATGGAAGGCAGAGAGAGGGAGAGGAGTGGAGTAAAGAGGGGTGTTATTCGTGTATGTGTCACATGTGTTGTGTTGTTTCCTTTCCAGCCGACAATCATCACGCCGACACCTACGCACCAACAATAACACCACCACCACTACAGTACTCACATGTGTTGATCTGTTGCGAACCACGCGAGAACTATGTGCTCGCTAATCCAACGGGCTTCAGCTGGACTGCTTCCCACCCTAGTGCCCCAGATCTTTTATCCAGCACTCGACGCCCATCCTGTACGCAGCGCGGACACTATCTCGTCAGTAGGTTATTAATCATCCTACAACCCCCAAACCACCAACCTGCAATAACACACCTCGTATTCTTCATTGAAAATCCCACGCAGGCGACCTCTCACAGGCCTTTCCCCCCCTCCTGATAAATCTCTCATGGATCACCGCTAACGTTGATACCTCACTGCCCCATTATAAGCGGAACACTGGAACTCGATTTCCTCGCCACCGTGATGAACCAGACCTGAGCGTCCAGCCTCGACTTTCTCGAGCGCGTCCAGCACGCACGCCGCAACGACAAGAACGCGCCCTCATAACCCTTGCCAAGTAGCCATAATCTCCCACCGTACCTCTGAACCAATTATAGAGAATTAACCAAGATGCTACAATGCTATAATTAATTGTAAATACCGCCATCAGATCCAATGCGTTATGCCGAGAAAAAAGATCTAGCAAATATATATATAGGTCTATACAACGTAAAAGACTAAGTCTCTGTCACTTATGTTTGCTTCCGTGTCAGTTTGGCCAATAAGATCGGCCAACAAGTCTAGAGTAGTTACTCTAGACTTTCGTGGGCCCGCTCATAACATTCATTGTTACCGGCATCTTAACAAAAGTAGGCCCCATTTCCATTATAACATCGGTTGAGCCATAAATGCTAGAAATGCCATTGAACAGGAAGTATTCGCTCACCGTACGTTCCGCAACATGGGTAGACGCAAATTCTTTCGTTATCTCTTTGAACGATAGAAGCAAGGGAATTTATGCATTTTATCTTCCTATTAGAAATCTTAATTTATAAACACTCAGGCTAGCATTAATACCTACAACTTACTACTTAAGGTAGCTACACATTGAAAGATTTGTTCTCGGCCACTAAATGGCACCTTTCCTCCGGTATACTCACATATGTCGATGGACTGCCAATCTAGATTCACCTCCGCCTCCAATTTCTCTTGCACCTCCTCACTTCCACTCTCGTGTTATATTGATTCGGCAAAAGTAATATTCTTCTTCAGAACGTCTTCTTTCGAACACTCGGTTCAGTATAACAGTCTCTGCCTAAAAAACCTCACCTTTGAAACGGCAACACACCAGAAACATAAAAAACTGCAATGGCATCAGAACGGTGATCGTACAGGTGGGCCGCGGGCCTCTAGCTACGGAAGCTGCCAGCTAGGATTTCTTATCACTAGCACAGACGTGCGGCCACCCTCTACTATCACACCAGTACCTTGGGTTCAGTGGACTGGTCAATGAAAAATGAGACAATTGATTGACAGAAAACGTTGATGAGCACGGACACAACTACTTAGAAATTCACCCCAGGATTGATTCTCCATAACTCCTTTTAAAGGTTAACCCAAATCGACCATCCTGCCACGCTAACAATACACCTCATGCTATATTACATAATCTCATCACGTCTTCACTTATTGTGAATTTGCCCTATTTGAACTCATATCACACGTATAAACACTTTCTGACATGTTTATTTCTCTTAAGCCCAATGGATGTACCTATCATTTCCTCTTTTTCAACTCACTTATCATTCGCTTTTATTCACTTCACTATTCACTACACCCTATTTTTACTTTAGCTTCCTCCAAATCAGCAACATCTCAGCCAATGCCGATCTATCATTACCAAACATTCCCAATGACCAGTCCACCTTCAGCCCTTCAGAGTTTCGCTAGTCGCTAGATGAGCGGCAAAGATAATAGATGAACAATCCGTCTCCCACATCGACATAGCGGAATCTACTCTATGACTCTTTTACTGTCTCATGCAGAGGCAAACCACTTCTTTGTTAGATAAAATTCCTGGCTGCTAATATTCTTCTCTTCTGGCACATATTTCCACCAATACTCTACTTTTCCAAACAATCCACAACTCATGTGATCTTATGCAGCTTATCTTCGTAACCTGCCCACTCCTCAACAACTACCAGAATCGCGCCTGATCCTCTTTGTCTATGGCTACATCGCAGTTACCATGGATGATAAAGCATAATTATTGAATAAAACCACAAAAAACCAACACCCGCAACAAACCTTCTGACACCCCAGGTATATGACTACATTGAAGAAGTAAATCACAGTCAGTATTCGATTTATTTAATAATTATAAACCTGCCTACTTATTTTTACTTACCCATTCATGCATCGAGTCGCATGCATATGTGTCTTTTATACCCAAATCAATGCCATCCTATGATACAACCACCAGCTATTTGCCTAATGATGACTACCATCATCAGAACCTTATTGCTGGATATCATATAAATACACAACACACTGAATTACTCATACAATTAGACATGAGCGCAGCTGAGAACATAACCATTAAATAGTCAAAGACACGTCTACTGCTTCACAGTTCGTGCTCCTGCACTTCATGACCGAGAACTCGGGCTATATTGCTCCTCTTACCCCCATACTGCCACCCCCCCCCTCCACCGCTATTATCCTCTAGATCCCGTTTATCAGCATTCTGTTCTTTTATCCCATCTCCCTTTTGACGTCCACTTTTGATGGCGAAAACGGCTGATTATGTGTTTTGCAATGTCATGCGGAGCTGGAGAGAGGCAAGAGAAGGGGACGTATAATGAAAAAGAGAAAGAGAGCTCAGAGAAAGCGGCCAGAGACTCGGGAGAAGACAGACGCACGAAGAGAGCAAGAAGGCAGCACTTCAGGAGAGAAAGGCAGAGAAACTTAGGGAGAGAGAGACGAGACTTTTAGGGAGGGAGACAGAGAGAGAAGGCAGAGAACTTAGGAGCAGCAGCACACGCAGAGAAGAGAGAGAGAGACTTAGGGGAAGACACACGAGCAGCAGAAGAAAAAGGCAGCACTTAGGGAGGAACACGCAGAGAAAACTTAGGAGCAGAGAGGAGGAGCATAGTTGATCATAGAACTGTCATGGGGGAGATGAACCGAGCAGCGAGAGCCAGAGCAGGGATAATGCGCAGACAACGAGACTGACCTTCTCAAGAAGTGAGACGAGAGACGAGAGCATCAAGGACAGATAACCGAAGCACCAGACAGAGAGAGAGGAAGAAAGAAAAAGGAAGTGTTCGAAAGGCCTCACCACGAATTAAAAGATAAGGGAGAGGGGGAGGGAGGGGAGGGGGCGTTCCTGGGAAGTCTTCAATGAACGCAAAAATACGGGAAAATCCAATGCTCATGTTCAGATGGCTATGGAGCTTATGATATTGCATAATTTGAGTGTATTAGGTAAGGAAAATAACTTTATTATACCATATGTGTTGGAAACTGGTATTTGTGAATGTTATATGAAAAAAAACAAGAAGAGAGGGGAGAGGGAAAATTGAAGACAGAGAGTTGAGAGACTTAGGGAGAGAGTGAGAGAGAAGAGAGAGAAGGGAGTAAACGAGAGAGGAAAGAGAATGAGATAACCATTTTTTTTCTCACTCACTGTCGTCTCCATAAAACACCGATACATGCCTATATATCGGTATGCTTATTAATATAATTCTATCGCCTCCTCCCCCCCCCCTCCAAAAAAAACAAATTTCTGTTCAATTTTTTAAAGGTGATATTTTTCCGTACTGTAAATCTTAAGTCGATTGACATAATCAATTAGTATTATCATCATCATATTACGATTATCATGATAACCATTCTTATTAGCACTTTTTCATCATTACCATCACCATAACTGCTATTGTCATTGTTTTTTATCTTCATTATTATAACTATTGATATCACAATCATTTTTGTCAGTACATCATCATATCAATATCATCCATCATTCATCATCATCATCATCATCATCTGGCCAGACCCAATAAACATTCATTATAGGGACACGAATATACACCGAAATAAATGCACATCTATCTGTCTAGACATGTACACCATAAAGATAGAGAGATTAATGTATTTATTCTTGTATATACGCATCTCTGTATTCCTTGGGTCGGGCCTCGCACAATTCAATCCGGCCCGAAATCTACAGTTGTATTTTTTTTATTTTTGGAGCGATCGCTGCACGCTACAATAGGGACTGTAAATGATTAATAAAATAATTCAATATGACTTTTTCATTGTGAAACCCATCCTGGTGTTGCCTGTGAATAACAATGAGAAGGATTTCCTGAAAGATAAGGAAGGAGAAAGGAAAGAAAATGCTATAGAGTATAACTATTTATTCATTGCAGGATTATCCATACTGTTGAGGCCATATGTGTATACTGCACACTTACATACATACGCACACTTATACATATACATAGATATACAGACAGATAAAGGTATAGATATACACACGAGAATATAGAATGTGGAAATAAACACCCAAATGTAGATAGAGATATAACCAGACATACACGTACGCATACAGGATGTCAGTATATTGTCTTAGTATATCACCTGGGCATACTCGATGTATATCCAAGCCTACGTCTTTGTGTTTGTGCTGTAGCGGGATGATTTTTACCCCCCCCCCCCCCCACCCCTCCCTTTTCCTTATGGTGTAATGAACCTATTTGAACAAAGGACATCGATGGTGAATATCAAGATTATCATCATTACTGGAAAGTTTATATTATAACCTGTTATTATTTTATTTCATGGACGAGGTTTATGTATCTTAGTTAATATTCTTTTGGTAGGAATGTGAGGTGAAGGTCGGATATATTGTACACGTATTTATGTGCGTTGAGACACGCACTTCAGAATGTACTTGCTCCCCTCTCCTATTGAGTTAGAGAGACTATATTTTTCTAGGAGGATGTTGTCACGTGCATTGCAGTGTAATCATTGCGACTTGCCCGAGGAGAAAGTACAGATGTTCAGGGAGCTTGGAGGGATACCGTAAAAAAAAAAAAAAAAAAAAAAAAAAAAAAAAAAAAAAAAAAATCGTCTCCTTCCCAAACCCGGAACC